GAGGGAGCTGTAAGCCTGAATGCTTTCAGGTGGAGGAAGGGACAGAACTGAAGTCTTACTTCCTGGGCTTCTGCTCTAACCACTAAGCTTTTATGTGGCTGCTGTCACCAGGTGTCTTGGAGTGTACAGTTGCCTGTACATGAAGGGACACTTAGGCACCTTACATGTGGAAGTTGAGCTGTGAATCCCATTCTTACCCAGGTGCCCACCTCAGGGCTGCGGAAGGGGACCAAGCCTAGGAGAGAGGTGAGATTTGGGGCACCTCCCTCTGATGTTTCCTGTTGGCTGATTTACATGCCCCCGAACATGCTAACATCCCAGTCCTAGGAATTTGACAATCTCCATTTAAAATCTAGAGAACTCGCCTGGGTTTGCAAATTCCACACTGAATTTTTAGGTACAGAAATGCTCCATGATTCTACCCCTTCTCTTCCTTATCGGACAAAAAATGGCATCATGCTGTTATAACCAGCAGCAAGGAAACAGGAGCCCTTCAGGTGTGCTCACAGACCATTTGCATTCAGTTTCAATGTTTTAACACAGCTGCTGCTCTAAAAACCGGGCAGGAAGGAAGGAAGTGGGATGGGCAGTGAAACGAGGACAATGACAAAAAACTACTTAGTAAGTAATTTTTCACCGTCTTGCATCTTCTTTTCTTTTTTTTTCCTTGTCCTAAAAGAGAGCTGAATAAGCTGTGTGAGGGTTTTGTATCTACTTTACTTACCACATCGGTTTCTGAACACCTTTATTCTGACAGTGACCAGTCCAAGAGGAAGAGACGGCCTACACCGAAAGCAAGTCCTCTTTTACTGAAATATAATTTCCCAGCAGTAGATCAGTCCAGCTCGGACACGTGATGGCAGCCAAGTAACTGCTTTGTACTTTGATACGAATATAGTCCTGTTCAACCACAAGTTGCTGGGTGAAGTTCTTCGACTGGTGCTATGCAGAGATCTTCTGGCCTTAAATCAAGACTGAGCAAGCCTGTGCTTTGATGGAAAAGTGTGGCCATTGCTACTTTAGTGCCCTTTACGTCTAATCAGTTTGATATGGAAGAAAGTGGCATGTGCAGCTGCTGCTCCTTGAGGAGGAATATCTGAAGGCTTGGAAGGTTTTTGGGTGATGCACCCAACTTTACCTAGTCAAGGTGTTGGCCACCAATGTAGGCTCTTCCCTGCTTCCCCTCCCCCAAGGGTAAAAGGATGGAACCACTAAAGCCCTGTGATCTAGGGGTTAGTCCCTGTGGGATCAGGACAGGAATGCATTAATGTTTTGTCTCATTGTACCTCCACTAGTATCTCGTGGAGGTGCAGCCTAGTACTGGCTTTGTCTGCGTGACCCCAGTAATGGAAGAGAAGACAGGATACGCTGTGCTTCTCATCTGAGGCATATATGCAACTGTGGGAAGGGTGTAGCGCTGCCTTCTATATGGCACTGGAGCATGCCTGCTGTATTCCTACTTGGTGGTTGGTGAAGACAGCAGCATGATGACAGACTAAGCGAAGAAGAGAAGGGCAAGTCGTTTGCTCCTGACCCTAGAGTTGGTAACTGGCTTATTTTATTTCACTTGTCAACACGGTGCGAGCGTTTCCAAGATTCCCTGGCACTTCGCAAAAGAGAGACGGGCAAGCTGACTCCAGCTTCTTGGATAAATTTCAGTTGGTATTTGAACTCTTGACTTATACACAGCACCTTCTGTCCAGAGATGTCGGTGCCATTGACAGACTTCACGGTCAGTTTACAAGACATTGAGGAATTACTGCAAGGACCATTGAAATGCAGCCATATCTGAGAAAAGCAGAGTCTTTTTAGACTGCTGACATCAGGACTCCACCGTGATTCAAAACAGATCTACTCAATTAAATCCCTCTTGATGATGAGTTTCATCTTGCCCTCAAGGGTTACATGGTGTTCATAGCACAGTTAAAAGGTTATGGGTCGCACTCCAGAGGTGGCTACCTTTATTGGAAGCTGAAGCGTTTCCTGAGAGTATTAAGACCGTCAGGATCCTTTTGCATGAAAGGCCGTATATGAACATAATCTGTAGTGATCTGCATCTTCCCCTCTTCACCTCACCCCTTTAGCATGTCTCTCTGCCCCCTCACCTGTACCCGTTCACTCACTGAAAGGTGTATAATCACCCACTCATCTTCTTATTTACCTCTTTGTTCAATGTGAAAGGACGGCATAAAGCCTCAAGTAGAAATGTCAGTGATTTGGTATTTGTTGCCAAAGTACCTGATGTTCTTGTGTTGTTCCTTACCAGTAATTCAGGTTATCTTCTTATTCATAGATGTCTTAAGAATCGATCTTTGGGGAGAAAGCGATTGTTTTTATTATTGCCCTTTATCTAAACTTCCACGCTTAAAACTCAGTGCTGCACCCAATAGGTAATAGTACTCATTCCTGCTTCAGCAAAAAGCATATCAAAATTAATCAGTGGTTTTAAAGCCTTCTGACCTCATGGGACTTCATCGTGTAGCAATTTTCAAAAGAAACGACCTGCTTCTTCCGTTTAACGGACTTAACTTCTGAAAGGATTGGTGTTGATTCTTTGGAGACTTGCCATTTTGATATCGATTATGACCGTTTGTGTTGAATACCACATCTTTAACCTGCGTGCATTAACTGGGCTGGAGAACCACATTACAAGGCTTAGGCACATAGGAAAATGGAGCTAACACTGCGATGCAAGTCGGCAAGAAAAAAGCATTTGTTTGTAAGGGCATCTCTATAAGCAGAAAAGGAGCTGAGAAACCTCACATCTCAGTGCTGGAGCTGTTCACCTGAAAGCATTGCCTAGTTTGTACTTCACGTCAGCTGAATTTACTGAAAACTTCTTCTGAGTATTAGCTATCGTGCATTACCTGCCAGTCATAGCAGTTTCTTTCTGAAATTGGGGTAGAGCAACGTTGTATTCAGGGCTTGGAATACAGGTATATCCTATTAGCAGGGCTCAAGATGACTTAATAGTTCAAAGAATTATTTACTGACATTTTTCCTATATTCCAAGGTCACAGCATTTTAGTATTATATTTGAAGACAAAAAAAAGCTTGTGTCCAAATTGGAAAGTATAGGAGTGCATGCAGAGCTTGATTATAAAAGAGAAGAGTGCTTTGTGCTCTGCAAGATGGCTAGCTGGACTACAAAAATCAAGTTCTTTGTTAAAATGGATCTTGGAAAGAACATTCTTGTTAAAGGAAAAGTCTTGTTCTGAAGTGTGATACCCGTGCCAAGTTAGAGGAGGAGGAATGTCTTGGGCCGTGCTGGAGTCTGTATGAACCAGAGCATTATTCCAGTCTCGCCTGACACAGCTGAGCTGACACATAGCAAAGCCCCTTTGAGAATCCAAGTGTTAAACATAAGCACTCAACAAAAATGCTGCAGTCTCTCTTGTCTGCTCAATGGTGTTGCCCTTGTAATTGTTCTGCTGTGGTGCCCTGTCGGCTTATCATGAATGTTATGGTGATGTTCTCATAATAATTTAACAAAGTTTTCTCTTGAGGGTAGAAATTACTTGACTTGAGTTTTCCATTTGATGTTTCTAGGGGACTGCAGGTCTAAGGACCTGTAATGCTCTACAAAGCCATTTGCAGCTAGGTCGCTGCTGAATCCAAAACAAGCTGCTAATGATCAAAAGTTACGATCAGTGATGAGCGTGCAGTGACCTGTTTCAGACCAGTTGATTGTTTCTGTCCAGTTTTCGGTGAACAGGTTTATAGGTTTGAATCGCCGCAGAACCTGAACAGTCTCCTCCGTGCAAAAGCCAGTCCCTTTTACAACATCAGTATAAGCCCAGGGCAGTGAAGCACAGTCCACAGGCTGAATCCAGCCTGCAGAGACTAAATCTGGGGTGTGGGGCAGCTGGTGAGGTGGGGGGGTCCGTCACAGCCTCATCACTCCCATAGGAGATGCGGCTGGTGCAGAGAAGCATCAGTGTAGCCAACAGCCGTGAGAGTTGACTTGTCCCCCTTACTGCGGCCACTGCCTTTCTCCTCTTCTCTTTACCTTTGTCCTTTGCTCTTGGTGATGAGATTCAGCTGCATTTGCCTCTGGGAGATGAGCAGTGGGAGATGCAGTGGGAAGGCGCAAAAAATTCCCTACCTTTGGCAGCTGCTGCATTTAACTACGGTACGCCTGGCAGTGCTGACACCCCCAAGGCAGCATCTTTCAGGGAGCGAGGCAGGGGTGCGAGGCTGACGAGGGGGCCAAGACTGTTGAGCGGGCTGTTGAGTCTGTTGGGAGCAAACCGGGAGGCATGGAGGGGAGGAAATTGTCAGCCTGTGTAGCAAGCCTTGCCACTGTTAAAAGGTTCCTGATCCCTGTTTATAGCCCATCCCTGCAGGAGCTTTGATCCATATGATGGCAGTTTGCAAACTCACTACTTGTGCCAAACCTGCTGTGTCCCATGGAGGGTGGTCCCTGGTGGTTTTTTCTCCAACTATCAAATGTTTATTTCCTGCAATGTGCTTTGAAGAGGAGTAATGCTGGTGTACACGTGGGGTTACTCCAAATATGATATAGGTAGTTCATTCATTCGTTCTTTATTTTTAATGCAGCTTGGTTTTTTTGCTTCCTTGATGGTCTGTGCAATGTATGCTTAGACAGAAGTTAAGTAATTGTAGTAAGCTTCCAGCAGTTCTGTGAGAAAATCAAACTTCAGTTTTATCGAACCCATCCTCTTTCTTTAGTATTCTCAAAAAACATCGTCCTCACTCCACCCCCATTAGTGTTCACGTTTCTTTCTTTTGATGCATCGTACCAACCTGAGAGACTGTGCAGCTTTCCAAAATGTTTATTACATTTATTACATTGTACAATACCATAACATGTAATTTTTTTATCATAATTGAGGGAAGTGGAAGTTTTACCTGTATTGCAGTGTGGTCTTCCTCACTTTGATGGATACATAAGTACCACTGAGATATTGCGATACTCGGTATATGTGGAAAAAGTTACGTTTGCTCCATCTGTTAATACACATGAAATATTTCCTTAGGTTGAGAATTTCTTCTGTATGGGATCTCCATTAGCAGTGTTTTTGGCATTGCGTGGCATCCGCCCAGGAAACACTGGAAGTCAAGATCACATTCTGCCCAAAACTATTTGTAACCGGTTGCTAAACATTTTTCATCCAACAGATCCAGTGGTGAGTCTTATTTGTAGTTACACACTTTTACCTCAGGAATACTTTAAAATAAAGCAGGTTTAGGGCCAAGCAAGCAATATATATAAGGATTGGTTTTCAGAGTACTTGCATCGACTTAGGTATGTTTCTGAATGCAAACAGTTTTGCAGAACAAGTTTCCAACAATCCTCTACCAATTTCTTAGTAGTTATAATCGTAAAATGAATTAGCAACATAGAATAAAGTGTGTGGCCTGTGCAACACACATTCTTCTCCTGGCAAGATTTAGTGAGGAGCAGACTGATTTCAGATCCGTAGGTTGAACACCACTAAATGTACTGATTATGTAATGCTGCACAAAAGAAGCTGCTTTTTCCACTTAAAACTTTGAAACTTCTGTGACAGAACTGCTGCGTTAGGCTTTCTGCATTATTATAGTGCATGGCTGGCATTTCTTTTTTTAAACCTTTTCTTGGTGCTGAATATCTTCTGACTTCATCTGTACCAGTTTAATTAACCTGAGGAGTTGGTCCAACATCTCCAACCTGCATGACAGCTCAAATTCTGCCAGATGTTACAGGGCTAAGGGATGTTAGGCTGGAAGTCAGGTAGTAACGCTGTGTCTACAAACAAATAGGACAAAGAAGGTGCAGAATACATTTCTGTCTCTCTGAAAACAAAGAAAAATGAAAGGCTTGAGTTGGAAGTAAGTGTGTAATGAAAATCCAGATGCCCACAGATCAGTAGGTAATGGTTCTTGAAGGATTGCTTTTGATCTGGAATTCCGCTGTAACAGGCTATTTACAAAGCAGCTAGGAAGGCATGCTCAAAAAAGATCCTTTGGCATGCAAAAAGAAAATTCTGTATGAAATTCTTAATGGGAAACATACAAGAGACAAGTGTTGTCGACATGCTAATACGCATCTACAGATTGGTTTTTAAGTAAATTGCTGTGTTGAATTCTTGCCTGAACTCCAGCCTGCCCTCTAGTCCGAACCCAACGCATATCCCCAAGGTTGAGGCTATGGCCTCCACTCCGTGGAACAAAATTGAGGATACTGGAGTTGCCCATTTGTAAAAAGGGTTGTGGAACTCTGCCTTGCTCCTTCCTACCAGTCATCTGCTTTTAAATCCCTAGAGGCTAAAATTCAGCCAAGTCATTAAACACTTGAATTGTGTCATTGAAGTGTAGATGGGCTGCTCATACTTAAGCGTATTGCTGACTTGAAGCCACAGTTGTCACATTTCTGCCCCAACACAAACCATAGGATGGCTTCTCATACTGTGAATGGTATGTCTACACTAGATTTTCTTCTCAGGTTAATTGCTAATTAACTCCACATATGTAAGCACTGTTAAAGGCTAATTGGGATGTGTCCCACACATCTGATTCAGGCTGCAAATTTTCATGCTTTCAGGATTATAACATGATAAAGATGGAAGGCCACTTATTCCAAACCTAGGATTTATTCTTCGTAAACCATCCTAGATAGATACCTATTCATCTTCTCCTTGAATGCATCCAAGGAAGGACATTACACCAATGTGTAAACACCTGGAGGAGGAGGAGATTACTAGCAGTCAACATGGATTCATTAAGAAGAAATCGCGCTAAACTAATTTGATCTCCTTCTTTGACAGGGCAACTAGTGTGGTGTATGAAGGGAATGCAATGGACCTGATGCACCTGGCCTTTAATAAAACTTTCAACATAGTCCCACAAGGCATTCTTACAAGTAAACCTAACGAGATGTTAGATAATTAGCATTAGGTGGATACAAACTTGGTGAATAAACACAAGCAAAAAAGTAGCTAAAATGGATTGATGTCAGACGGGCAGGGGTGGGTCTTGTGAAATGTTACAGGGGTCTGGTGCTGTTTAATGCTTTGATTAATGGCTTAGGTGCACAAGTAGAGAGCTTCCTGATCTGTTTGCAGATGAAACAACACTGCCTGCAAACACTTTGGATGCAAGGATTTGAATTCAAAAGCATCTTGATAAATTGGAGGACTGGGCTCTAGACAACGAGATGAAATTCAACAGTGACAAGCATAAGTTGCTAGACCTAAGGATTAAAAAACAAATGCAGAAACGCAGAATGGGGCATCACTGGTTACACGATTGTATTGCTGAGGGAGCTTACAGTAGATCAACTCAACTTGAGCTGGCAATATGATGCTGTGCCCCCCCCAAAAAAAAAGCAAATACAGTTTTGGACTGCATTAGAAATACAGTATGCAAGGCATGAGAGATGATAATACTCTTCTGCTTGGTACTGGTGAGATCTCAGGTGGAGTATTATGCTCAATTCTGGATTCTGTATGCACCATTGATAATACGTGGAGAAACTGCAGATCATCCAGAAGCAAAGGGAAAAGATTACAAAGGGGTTGAAATCAGGCAACTCTAAGAAGAGTTGAGAGAACTAAGTAGCTTTAAGTTGGGGAGAAGGAAATTACAGTGGGGAAATAATGGCAATTTTCAAATATTTGAGAGGCTGTTTTAAAAAAGAGGAAGAATAACTATTCTTGCCACAGAGGGCAGGCATGAAGCAATGGGTTTATGCTGCAGCATAAATTAAATTTCAGAGAAATCTTCCTACCTGTCAGAACAGTAAGGCATTGAAACAAGGTGGCCAGGGAAGTTGGCAGGTGTTCAAAAATAGATGGGTATCTGTCTTGGATGGCTTCGAGACAGGGCATCCTTCACTGGTTGATCCTTGAGACCCCTGCCAGACCCCCTTATAGGCTTGTTTGACACTCTGTTGATAGCGAGTCCTAGCAGCCCAGGGCTTTAGCACACCCTGCCTACCTGCCGTACAGACACACTCCTACCCAGAAGCACACAGTTGAGGTTGGTCTGGGCCTGCCTCTGCCCACTCTCAAGCCCACACTTTCTGGCATGTCCAAGAGCATTCACTGGAAATGAGCCTGGAGCAGCCTCACTGGTTCCAGATGTGCAGCAGGTCAGTAGACATTGGTGGGTGAGGGTCAGGTCTTTCAGTGCCAGCCCTGCTGCTGAAACAGTGTGAACAAGCCCTGAGACCCCTTTTAATCTTAGTCCTTTCCTGCAAAATGTTTGCAACCCCCTCAGAGCTTTGTCACCTGCAGATTTAATCATTATATTCCTACTTCCTGCACCAAAGTTGCTAATCAAAATGGTAAACATTTGGCCCAGGACAGACCCGTAACCAGCTGAGATCTTCTGGCAGTGTGACAGTGATCCATCAACACCATACTTCCTCACGTACCGTGTACACTTTCCCCCCAAAATTGGAGTGCACATGTTAAGTGGGGAGGCTGATTTCTGCATCCGAGTGGAAGCATGAGGTTGCTGTAATGACTGCCAGGGGCTGTGCTTCTCTCTTCCCTCAGGGCCAGTATGCAGCTGGGGCAGAGTCCACTCTAAAGCATCAGAGCCAGAACCTGCTGCCAGTTCTGCAGTCCTTGTGAAACAGTTAGGTCTCTAACTGCTGAGCCTCCAAGGGAGGGCAAGTGAGCCGACAAGTAGACTCTCTCCCTATGCCATGCAGACAGCTTTCAGCCATGACGCTGGAAAAAATATTTTTCTTCATTTTGCCTGCCCAAAATAAGGTGCATGTCTTATTTGGGGTGTGTGGTATGCAAGGAAATACAGCAGCTACTCTTTGTCCTGATTAAAGCAATTATGTATCCACCTACGGTTAATTCTAGCTAGCCCAGATTTCTCCAGCTCACTTGTGGTCACCTAAGACTAGTCCTTGTTCAGCAGTGAATTGCGAGGGAATGCCAGTAAGTTGGTAAAGCTTACTGCTGCCTCTGCTGCAGCTCCTGTTTTTGAATCTCGGTGTTAATATGGCCTGTGTTTGTAAAGCTCGCTGTCTAAACAGCATCAACAACATCTGCGTTTGCTGACATAGGCAGTGTGTGAAAGCCTATAAAGGCAGGATTTTCACAGTGATCACTAAACAATGCGCGTTCAGATTTGTGCAAGCAGTTGCCCATTTTTGACAATTTGATTTGAAATGTAGCAGTAGTTTAGCTGTATAGAAAGGATTAGTATTCTGCGGGATTGCAACGGCCTTCTACCAGTGTTTGAATATATTGAGCAGAGCTGCAGATAAACACACAAACGTATGGACACCATAATCTTCCAGGCATTCAAAATGAACCTAGGCCAGAGCATATTGCCAGTGTTGGCCACTTTCTGGAGATTGATTTGACACACATTTGACGGCCACATGTTATTTCTTAACTGAGAGATGGGAGCAAGGAACTTCAGATCTCCTTCTGACCTCTGCTGCCTCAACCTGTTGCCTGGGGCCAGCCACGTAACCCTGTAAAATTGGGCTGCTACTATTATGTACATTCATCCATAGAAGTCTGAGGATGTATCGAGTGAGCTGTAACACCATTTTGAGGATGAAGAGCACTCCATGCTAGCAAGTGAATTGAATCTTCGGTCTTTGTTGCTGCTCAAGATTTTCTTCTCTGAATTTGCTTTATAGGCCTATAGACTAGAACCTTTAATTCTGAAGCACTACAGCAACATTTCGCCAGTCCAGATTCATTGGTATAACACTGCAAATCCACTACCTTACGAGCATATGAAGCCAAGTTTTCTCAACCCAACGAAAGAACCTACCTCAGTCACCGAGAGTGAAAGCGCATCGACTGCATCGAGCCCAACCACTTCGCCAGTCATGGTTCGACGCCATTATGGGGAATCTATAACAAATATAGGCAAAGCAAGTATATTAGGTAGGTGCTCATTAAGTCTGTGTATGCTTACACAGCACTTCTCTGTTGAACTTCATTCAGTAGCAATTTGATTTATTTTTAAGGGGGCCATATCTTCATACAAAGCTTTATTTTTCTCCCTTCTGATGTTAAAGGCATAAGCGTGTACTCTTGCAGATGTATATGTGTACTGCTAATGCAGGGGTGGGCAAAATGCTGCCCAGGGGCCGGATGCAGCCTGCCAGGCCATTCTATCCTGCCCACAGGGCCCCTAAAAAATTTAGAAAACTAATATTTATCTTCCCCTGTCTGCCTGTCATGTGGCCCTTGATGGTTTTCCAAAACTCAGTAAGCGGCCCCCTGCCCGAAATAATTGCCCACCTCTGTGCTAATGTAAATCCAAGTTCATATTTAAGGGGAAGGAAAGTTTATAGACATCACAGTCAAGAGTTGTGGAGATTTTCTTTTTAGTGACTCCTGTCTTATTTGTTGCATACCTAACAGAAATGCTTCATTCTGATGCTTTAATGCTATTCAGGTTGCAAATCCATGAATTCAAATACTTGCTTTGCAGTCGCATCGTATAGTATTTGCAAGTATCTGCAACGTTCCTGATAACAAGAAGGGCTGATACCATTTAACGTGAGATAACAGCCTACATTTCTATATGCAAAACACTGATAGGAAGTCTTTAAGCCCTTTCTTTTAGGCATTGCAATCCAGCTTAAACACCACTTTAACTTTAAAATGTGAACAGTCTCTTTTAGTTTCACTGGGGTTTCTCGCGTGCCAAAATGTTTTGCTGAACTGTGGCCTGTAAAATTTGTATTTTTATATGATAACTTGGAACAAGGTTCAGCAAAGTAGCCTGCTGTCAATGTTTGCCCTAACATGTTATTAAAATGCACATTCCTGTTTAAGGAATACATATATCTATTCTGCAATATATCAATCTAATACAGGTCGATTATGTTGCTTGTCTCGGGGAACAGTGATGTTTGAACTTGGATTTTATTGAATATGATTTTCATGTATTATCCACAAGATGGCAGCAAAGGCAGGAGAAAAACGCCCCATCTGTAAAGTGGTCTTTAAACATTTACACATCCTCCCTAGCTGCAGTCCCCCTTTCAATCATGACGCACAATGAGGAAAGACGTATTCTCACATTATAGGTCAAAATTGGGACTTTTTCCTAGACGTGGTACCACAAGTCGTGCTGAATGTACTGCAGAAGAGATGGGTTTTTAAAAGGCTCAGACTTTGTACACACAGAATTTAAAATATGATCTCTTCAAGATTGGACTCTGTCCAAAACTGCTCTGGTCTATTTTTGTTTCCATTACAGCACTTCCCGACCTCAACCTTTGATTGTACGCTAGAGCGCAGTGTCATGACAGCAAGTGTCCGCTTTATTTAAATCAGCTGTTCCTACCCTGGAAAAACCTGACTAGTGTCTTTCTTCCTCTGTCGCTCGGCTGTAATTGTTGGGCGTTGCATTGCCTGTAATTGGAGGTTTGATATAACTGGCACAATGCCTGTTGTGTTTTATGCTGAATGCAGGAGCTGCTAGCATCGGGAAGGGCCTTGGGGGGATGCTGTTTTCAAGGTTTGGACGATCTGCTGCACCCACCTCGCAAACATCCGAGACGGGCAAAGAAGTGACGGAGGGAGAAGACAAGAAGTGCGCTACTGTTGGAACCCCGGCCTTCCCACACAGCAGCTCTGGCTTCCTCGATGCCACATGTTAGTACACAGCGCTGCACCCGTACCAACCAAGCCTCCCCTTGGAAGTGGAAACTTGGTTGGCTGGGTGTGTACGACGGGGAAGGGTGGAAATATGTATGTAATAACAGCAAACATGTGCCCCTGTTTAAATTGTGTCTTGGGTAACTTTAAGATGCTGAAAAGTGGATCTATTCCCATGCCTCAAATCCTTTGGAATTATTTCCAGCACTTTCAATGGTTTGTATGTTTCGGAGAATTTTAGGTGCTGAGGTCTGTACCGTAACAGTCTTTCGAATCTCCCTGGGGAAAAAATCGGCAGAAATTGCCTCATAGAAAACCAGCTTGTCATTTTTTAAAGTTCTCTGCTAGGTGCAAGCCTGAGACATGGAAGTATCTAAAATGCAAATCAAGACACGGTCCTGCCTCAAGCAGAGATGGTTGAGATGCAAGACAAAATGCTAGCAAGTTTTCAGCAGGAAGTAGGCATCTCCTCTGCCAAAGTTCAGGATCCTGACATAATTTCAGAAGGTTTTCAGTCCGTGGTGTTGCAGAGGTTTTCACCGTCCAGAAATCTGATTTTTACCTAACATGACATTTCAGCCAGAGCTTCTCAGTGCACTTTATACAAGGTGCTTACTGCGCAGTAGCGTCACCAGGCATGAACCGTGATGCCTTGCCACTGCACCGTAGTAACGAGGTACTGTGCAGTAAGTGTCACTAGGCAACCATGCCAGGATGGTACTGCGTAGTGATGCTGATTACAGCACGGTCATTTAGTACTTCAGCAAGCACTAAATAACTGCACCGTAACAACTATGCCGTCAGCATCTCGTGCAGACACGGCCAACGATTCCTTATTTCAGCAGCAGACCGTTGTTTCACTTTTAACTATTTCAACATTTAAAATTAACCAGAGATCAAGACTTTTGCTTTTCTGAATAATGCAGCTGTCAGGGTCAGCCTGGACTTTGGATCAGACCCCTGTAGTTGCAGTCCGGTCCCAAGGGCTGCATCTTGCGATAGCATCCACATGATGCATCACACAGTTCCCTAGCTCAGAGTAACCCTCAGCAGATAACTTAACTGAATCATCATTTCGGGCAGAGTCTTAACTTTATTTATTCATAGTGGCGTAATGATGAACGTTATCGTTCTGAAGGGGCTTTTTGCAGGGAGCTCAGCCCCTTGAGCCCTGCTGCCCTTTCTCCTTGTGGTCTGTAGAAGCTGATCCCGTAGCCTAGGCCTGGCAAGCTACAAAGGGGTGATGCAATTTGTGGCTGAAGTATTAACTTCTGAAAGGTTGTGCACTTGGATTGTATTTGAATCTAGCAAGAATCCTAAGGGTCTGAGATGGAAAGAGAAATGTTTCAGCCCTCTTCTTGCAGACGGACTAGAGGAATTTGACTGAATTCTCACTTCTGCACTGGTGGAAATGATTGCGGTTATGCTCTTGCTCTCTGGTTAAGAGTTGGGAGGCTCTGTCTTTCTCCTTCCCTGCTCTTGGAAACAAGTTGGATGTTAACGTGACGGCTGCTCATGTCTCAGTTGTGGAAACGTCAGTTTTGAAAAATCTTTTGAGTTGCATTGAAGGTTTGTGCCCTGTAAGCCAAGCTGGACATCTGAGAGAGACCCTGAGAGGGCGGGAGAGCGTGGAGGGGAGGAGGGGGACTTCTTAGAGCTAATTAGGATTTTAGCTTGTCAGTCCATTTAGTTGTTTTTTCAGGGGGAAAAAATATCTCTGCTAATGTGTTGATCTCAATACGCTAACAATTAAGACGGTTCAATGCCCAGCAAGGATGGGTGTGGTTTGCTGTGTATGAGATTGCAGTGCCCTCAAAAGAAAAGGAAAGTCTTGAAATATTTTGAGCAAATTGGGGAAACTAAGGCCTGGGGACTCCCGTTGCTTTCTGCAGCGCTGCTGTATATGCCCTGATCGTGCTATGAAAAGCAAGTGTTTGCATGTTCAGGCTGTTTGTAGCATTTCAGGGATGGCCAGCCTGCCTCTCTCAAGTTCCCATTTCAGGCAGGGGCTTTGTAGCGCTGCAGGAGGTCTCCGAGCCCGGACATCCTCAACGGCTCTGCTTTCCTGCACCCTCTGGGACGCAGGGAGGGAGAGCGACTGGCTTCCCGACAGAGCTGCTGTCGTCACAGCTCCCATAGTTTCATAGTTTCTAAGGTCGGAAGGGAC